CAGATCAGCTGAAGACATCAAGAAAGCAGGCTTTCAGTCTGCAAGGGCTGGGGACAAATTTCTAAACTAGAATGTCTCATGTCACATCCTTTCAGGCATCAATTTCAGAATCAAGCTGCCAGCAGAGTTACTTCCTATTGAATTTAGAGAAAAAGCCCTGCTGCAGTCCCCCAGCCTCCCAGCCCCCAGCCCCCCAGCCCCCAACCCCTCCTCCACCCAGCCTGGGACTTGGAGCTTTGCATATTCAAACAGAATTCTACCTGGATCTGTCTTTGTTCAAATCTCCCCTTTTGCAAAGACATCAATCATGTTGGATTAAAGCCCACCATTATGATTTCTTCTTAACTGTTACCCTCGGGAAAGACCTACCACCAAAAACAGGTGTCATGGCACACACCTGTAATTCCAGCACTTGAGAGGTGGAGGCAGGAGGATCAATAAATTCAAGGTCATTCTCAGCTACATTAGACCCTGTCTTATCCTCCCTCCCTCAAAGAAGACCCCATCTCTAACTACACAGTCTGAGGGACTGAGTTTAAGACATCAGTATATAAATGGGGGTGGACATAGAAATTTTGTGTAGTGTAATGATTTTTGCTCGTTAGCTCAATTTTTTTTTTTTATCCAGAATAGCATGCAGACTAGAGAAGACATCTGCAGACGCGTAGTGCTGTTAGTCTCTTCATCTCTTAGTGTTGTCGTCTGCCAGGGCCTGGGCTTAGCCAACCCAGAGTCCCTTTGCTGCCAAGGGTTCTCACAGTGCGGTTCTCAGGTCAGCAGCAGCTACAGGGCTGTGTCCTGTAGCTAGTCAAGGGACTACAGTTCAGTTGGTAGAGCGCTTGCCTAGCTTGTATCAAGCCTGGTGTTTGAGTCCCAGCACCACATATACTGGGTATACGGGGTATATTGTCATACGGTGGATCGGAAGTTCGAGGTGGTCCTCGCAGGTAGAAGACCGTGGATGGGAAGTTTGAGGTGGTCCTCTCCGACCTAGTCCGAGACGAACCTTGGCTACCAGAGACCCTGTCTCAAAAAAGGAGGCAAGGGGTGGAGAGATTAAGATGGGGAGTGAAGTCGGGCAGTAGTGGGTACCTTTAATCCCAGCGTTTCGGAGGCAGAAGCAGGTGAATCTCTGTGAGCTGGAGGCCAGCCTGGTCTACATAGCAAGTTGCAGGTCAGCCAGGGTTACACAGTAAGACTTTTTCTCAAAAGCAAATATTTCTAGGCCAAGACTGTCTGCTGAGTGGGAAGCCCCGGGGATGGGGCTCAGCAGTGTGCACTTGAATAGGCTTGCATACGATCCACCCTGATGCATACTAAAGTTTTTGTTGGTGGTGGCTTTTTGGTTTTTCAAAACAGGGTTTCTCTGTCCTGGAACTCTCTCTATAGATCAGACTGGCCTTGAACTCACAGAGATCTGCCTGCCCCTGCCTCCCCTACCTAGTGCTCAGATCAAAAGTGTGTGCCACCACACAGGGCTTGCACACACACTAAAGTTGTAATCCCTCTGCTTTCGGTGCCACAGCTCTAGGACCTTTTGGAGAAATGTATCCAAAAATGAGAGAAGGGTACCCAGAGCTGTTCCCTGTAATCAGCACTGCTACTGGGTAGTTACTTTTTTGCCAATGTAGCAAAACACCCTTGGAAACAGCTAAAAGGAGGAAGAATGTGTTTCAGCTTATGGGTCCAGCGATTCCTGTAGTGGTCAGTTGCCTCCATCGGGGACTGTGGGCCTCAGGCAAAGCATCATGGCAGGAGCCGACACTTGTTTCCAGCACGGAGCCAGAAAGCAGAAAGCGAAATAGACAACTTCCAGAGGCTTCAAACGCACACCTCCACTAATCTGTATTTTTAATTTTTTAGGTAGCAAGAAAGCTTAAAGATGAATTATACTTGGCCACAAGTAAGAACAGAACTAGTCCAGGATGTCCCAGGTGCGGGGCAAGGTGCCAGCGGGACTGTCTTGGTTGTAAGGAAGCTAGTCTTTTTGGTGGTCTCAGTGAGCAGCCGGTGATGTACCAGATCCACTGAGACTTATTACCGACAGCAGCATTCAGGCCAACAACTTGATCCAGCGTCGCAGCTGTCAGCACCCCTCACTTCTGCTCCTTCAGCCTTCTTGGGTGCACAAATTTACTTGGACCTTGGCATCCTCTTTCTTTGCTTGAGCTTCAGTTTGCGCATGCGCTTTTTCCTCCCCTTTGCTCTCTTGGCGCAGGAGTTTCAAGGAAGATGTTGCCAAGGCTGAGACCTTCTTTTTATTTTTAAGATTTACTTTCTTCAGCCGGGCGGTGGTGGCGCACGCCTTTAATCCCAGCACTTGGGATCTCTGTGAGTTCGAGACCAGCCTGGTCTACAAGAGCTAGTTCCAGGACAGGCTCCAAAACCACAGAGAAACCCTGTCTCGAAAAACAAAAAACAAAAACAAACAAACAAAAAAAAAGATTTACTTTCATCATTTTAAAATTGAGTGCATGCACACTTGCAGGTGACTGTGCGCATGAGTGCAGTACCTTCAGAGGCCAGAAGAGGGCGTCAGCATCCCTGGAGCTGGAGTTAGAGGGGGCTGAGTGACTGGACCTGGGAGCTGGAAGCTAAACCCTAGACCTCTGCAAGAGCAATGCATGCTCTGATCTATCATGTCACTTCTCCGGTCCCCTAGTCTACTAGCAAGCTCCAGGACAGCTGGGGTTACAGTAAGACTCTGTTTTTAAAACAAAACAAAGTAGGGGGTGAAAGAGACCTCACCTCTGCCCTGTTAATAATGCCTTTGCACATTTTGGGGGCATTTGGAAGTTTTCAAAAACATTCCTATATTCCTGTCCTTGGCGGAATTCAGCAAACAAAAGCACTAGTACCATGAGGAGCCAAGCACTCTGTAGCAGGGTCCTCTCTCTGTCCCTTCTGTCTCCATTCAGGAAACCCCTAATTAGCTTCTGGTCCTTGTCCACTACAGCTCCTAGGCTGCTTGAGTCTTAAGACCTTTCAGTGAGCCCAGCAAACTGGGAATGTAGGCAACATGGTGACCTACATTCACCCTGGGGTGATTGATTGGCTTATATGGAACCCTGGACCACCTTCATTCGGAGATGCTCGAGTCATACCCTTACATTGTGGGTTAGGAGAGAGGGACTTCTGAAGAGTGTGAAAGGGTAAGCCAGGGGATGGAGCACTTCATGAGCTCAGACATTTTCCAGTCCTGTGTTCTGCTCCGTGTGTGTGTGTGTCTCAGTCATATAACCAGGGGCTATGATGTCATTGTTGGGGGAGGGGTTTTGCTTTCTGCTGTTCTGAGTACACTGCCTGACCTGGACTCAACCCTACCAGAGGTCGTGATCAGTGCCTCTGGTTTTAGTGTCTCATAACGCCTGCGTTTGTGAGGTGGAACAGAGTAACGGCAAGAGAAGCCAGAGTGGCAGGAATTACACGGTTGTAGAAAAGTAGGCTGTGAGTGGGGGTGTCCTCGGTCTTCTCCCCTCCCTCAGATGAGTGGCCTCTTACAGTTCCTGAAGGTAAACGGTGGTGTTGCATGAGGTCGATGCTGACTTTAGTTTGACTGAGTTTGTTCTATGGACTGAAATTTTTCTTTTTAACTTCTAGTTGGGCTGAGGTAAAAGGAATGCAGATTTAGAAGCCAGCCTGCATACACAGTGAGTTTCAGTGTAGCCCGGGCTACATATAGGGATAGAGATGTAGGCAAAGTGGGAAGAGTGCTTGCCTAGAATGCACGAGGCCCTGGTTTGATTCTCAGCACTGCACACAATGGCACATGCTTCTAAAACCAGAACTCGGAAGGTGGGGGTGAGGGTCAGAAGGGCAAGGTCATCCTTGGCTACTTCGAGAGTGCAAAGCCAGGCTAGACTACTTGATACCCTACCTAAAAAGATAAATAAAAAGAAGTCTCTCTGGGCTCAGGATATAACTTAGTGGTAAAAGCATTTGGCTGTTCTGTGTGAGGCCTGCGTTTGATCATCCAGTACTGGAGGAAAGAGGGGACAACTGAGAACTTTCTGTTGTTGTTACTGCTACCAGCTTGAACTGCCTTTCCAGCGGAGGTGCCAACATTCAGAGTATTAGTGTATCTCACAAGAAGGGTTTCCAGACTCTCATGACAAAGGTCATGCCCTTCTCAGCAAGGACCTCTGGACATGGTGGCTGGCTCAGAGGGTTCCATGTATTTAGGCTATTATTTCCCTTCTAGGATACAACAGCAGCCACGTGATCAATGTCTTTTCTCAACATTACGGTTGCTGTAGTCATAGAAGCTGGGACGACAGTGAATTACATCTCGTGTCTATGTTCCTATTAAAAGAGAAATTGGGCTGGAGAGATGGCTCAGTGAGTAACGTATTTGCCATACAAGCATAGGAACTGGAATCCCAGCACTTGTATTACTAGCTGGTGTGACCGCACATGTCTGTGTCCCCATTGGGGAGGAGACAGGTGGATCCCAGAGACTTACTGGCCACACAGTGAGCTCCAGGCTCAGTGAGAGACCTTGTCTCAAAAACAAAATAAAAGGTAAAACAAACTAACAAAAACAAAAACTAAGTGAAATAAAAACTAAGAAAAACAAGTGACCTAGATATGGTAGTACACGCCTTTAATCCCCACACTTAGGAGGCAGAGGCAGGAGGATCTCTGTGAGTTTGACAAAGCAAGTTTCATACCAGCTGTGACTACTCTGGCTGCTACATACACACACATATGCTGCACACACATACACACACGACTTAAAAAATGTTTTTCGATAAATATCTTCTAAAACGAAAGGAAGAACAAGCCTGAGGAGAGCAAGTTTATTCAGCTTTCTTCCTGGGTTGTTACATAAACTCCAGACCTTCTGAAGCGGGAGACACATTGAAGAATAGACAACAAATGCATTAGAGCCGCATCAGACCCGCAAACCCTCCCAAGTGACTGTCCCTGGGCATCAGGGCTTGTACCAAGTCCATGAGCCTTTGTTAAGGAAAAGCAAAACAAAACACCAGACACCATAGTTTGAAAACAAAATCATCACATTTATTTTGAGTTCATAAATAAATGGGGGCTGAGGGGGAGGCTAGGGGTGCTGAGAGAACTGGACACATGGCTCTATGTTTTGCAACAGATGCCACAGCTAGGATTGTTACAGCATCGACAGCAGAAGACGCAGACTGGGAAGTAGGTGTCCCGCTTGGTTCGCGTTGGAATCAGGAGCTGCATGGAATGGAAGAGAAGTGAGCTGCCCTGCCTGAGCATGGGAAAGGTTGGGGGGTCAGGAAGGGAGCCCCAATTGCTCTTACCGTCTCGTCGGCCCTGCCTTCTGCCCTGTGCCCAGGCTGTAGTGCGTCAGGCTGTCTTGCCTGTGAAAGCAGAAAGGGTACCTGAGTATTGCAGTCTCCAGCATAGCTTTCTGATTCAACTCTGCCAGCTTGTTCCTTCCCCAGGGGCTTAGGGACCTGTGTTTAGATAGAATTCCTGGAAAGGCTTCACTGCCCTGATTTTCCCACCATTCCTTGCATGTTCTGCTTCCTAAAAGCACCCCACCTTTTTGGATGCTGAACCCTCCTCCTGGACACTACCCTCCCAACGGGTCTGCCTGCATCTTATAAACCCTTATATGCCAACCATCACATAGCACAGTAACTTCTCACCATCACTGCAATGTGGTTTTCCCTTTCTCAGCAACCCAAGGACCAATCATCGTCTGCACAGCTGTCCACAAAGCTTGGCTCAGTCAGAACCACCACTGCCACCCTCTCCCTACTCCCAACACTGACCCACTCTGCAGACCCTACAGACCCAAGGATCCTGTGAGTGCCTTTCACCCGAGTGCCCATTCTCCTGTCGCAGCTCCAAGGCACAAATCTGGTGTCTTTGTTGTCGGCTGAGACAGGGTTTTCATAGCCTAGGTTGGTGTTGAACTTGCTGTGTAGCCAAGGATGACTGTGAACTTCTGGTTCTCCCTCCTCCACCTACCAGGTGCCCACACCAAGCCTGGTTCTGTAGCATTTTCTTTCTTCTTACACGTGTATGAATGTTTTGCCTGCATATATGCATGTATACCACATTCATGTCTAGTGCCCATGTAGCTCAAACGGCATCAATCAGATGCCCTGGAAGTGAGTTAAGGAAGGTTGTGAGCCACCACACAGGTGCTAGGAACTGATCCTGGGTCCTCTGCACAAGCATCAAATGCTCTAACTGCTGAGCCGCCTCTCCGGCCCCTTCTGTATCATTTTCTTATAAAATACTTTTGCTTGGCGTTCTGCATCTCTGCCCCAGCTCTGGTTCTTCCTTATTATAGTCATTCTGTCCGTCATCTCTTGCGCTATCCACAAATAAGTGTTTTCTAAACAGTCATTGAAAGACAGTTTAAGAAATGCCCTGACGGGGATGGGACAGCCAGAGGAACATTTTGTCTGACTTTCCAGCATGTTACTTCCCATCACAGCTGTGCAGCTAGAGGGGTGCCTCAGCCCTTCCCCTCAGGACCACCCTTGCCCCCTCAGTAGCTGCCCCGAACACTTGGTGCTGAGCCCCTGCCTCCCGGGGAATGGCTCTCCCATTGTAGTAGGCCTGGGGTGCTCACCAGCTGCTGGAGAAAGGAGCTGCTGGCCAGGCTGGCGATGAGGAGAAGCAGGAGACAGGCAGCCTGGATCTTAGTGCTCTGTGCCATCGTGCCTTCTGTCCTGTTGTGCAGTCTAAGGACTTGCCTGGTGTCTGGGACCCAGTCCTAGTCCTTTTTATGGGACCAGTTGGAGGAGGGGACGCCTGAACCCCCTCCCCTTTGCCCTGACTCATTTCCAAGAAGATAGTGGCGCCGAACAGGCGGGAGAGATAAGCGGGAACAGAGTGACAGGGGACAGGGTTGTGTCACCCTCAGCCAGCAGAGGTGCACCCAGGGGGTGGGGCAGCTAGGGCCATGGACACAAGCCTCCAACCAGCCACCTGTGATGTCACCCTGTGGCTTTCAGAAAAATTCCCCCTTTTTCCCCTAGACACTGCCCCTCACCCTTATCAGTGTCTTCAGTATGGCTGTCACTCACTGGGCTCTTCAGGACAAAGCAATGGGGTACACATGTGCAGGGTGCATCTTAGAGTGAGTCAGGGCAGCAGCCAAAGGTCTGGACAGATGCCCAAGCATAGGCTGCACCGTGGTGTTCAATGTCCAGACCATAAGATGTAGCTGTCTGTTGAAGTCACCTTGTGGTGGTGGTGGTCATTATTCATAGCCAGAGCCAACTCATTTCACAGCCCAGCATATGAACTAGTTCAATCTTTTGCACGCCAGGGTGCATATTAATTCACTGTCTTTCACACCAGTACCAAGTCATGTTCGTGTTAACAGCTGATGCCACTTGGCTTCCAAGTAGATGTCTGTGTCCTCTTGGGCTTTATTAGTGTTTAGGCTTAAAGTCGCCTTCTCGGCACCGACCCCAGGGGCCTGGCCTGATCTAGTCATCAAGCTTCCACCTCTCTCTAAGCACAGGAGACACAGGAGCACGTTAGACTTGGCTTGGCAGAGCAGACTATGCACATCACGCAACTTCCAAGTACAGTGTTTACACCAGAACCTTCTCAATTGCCATGCTGGGAGAATTTACACCACAGAAACTGGTATGCAGATACACCAGGGCATTTGTAGTTTGTTTTTGGGGTATTATCGAATCCTGGATCCCTTGGTGTGTATGGCCATGGAGACATTGTAACAAACTTGACTCCAGAGACAGGCTACTGGACACCATGCCAGACTCACACAGGAACCACCCAGAGTCGATTCTGTATAAAGCCCTGGGGACGATGCTATTCTTCTATTGCTGCTGCTGCTGCTCACTAGGGCCCCTCACTTCCTTCACATGCCCCTCAAAGAGAGCATTAGGGAGTGGTAAGGCCAAAGACAGGGGTCTCAGAAACCAGAGACCATCAGGTAGGTGTACTTAGGTTGTGGCAAGGTCAAAAGGGCAGCAAGGTGAAACTGAGAGGCAGTCCTGGATCCTGGGAACAGGTGAGCCAGTCTATTGGGGACATGATGGTATCCCTCAGGCCTGCCAGGCATCACTGTGGTTACTCAGGACAGGTTTCATCATCAGCCGAGGGCAGGGGTCACACACAGGCGCCAGAGAAACAGTGTGAGGCGACAGACTGCCGGGCCAAGCCTCGCTTTCTGGCCATCTGCCCTCTCTTGGGGGTGGGGGGCTCAAGGCCAGGGCCCATCATTGGCTGGTGCAGAGGGGAGGGCTTCAGCCCCAGAGCCTAGGGATGCTCACAGGCCCTGTTTTCAAGAAGCTCTGACCCAGGAGACTCTAGCCCCCACCAACACCAGGGGGCATGTCCTTGATCGCAGATCCCACACCCCTAATCTGTACCCAGGGCCTCAGTGAAGAAATTCAGTCCTTAATTCTCCAGCCATTTTCACACAGCCACAGTATAGCTGAAGCTTAGACCTCAGGACAGCCCTAGGACCCCTGCCTGTCCCCATGCCCAACATGGACCGAAACACAGACAGACAAGGCGGGGCCACACTGGCCAGTTTATTGCAGTTAAATACCTCTCTCTCTATTTTTTGTCCATTTTTCCATAAAGAAAATTAAAACACACACACGCACACACACGCACACACACACACACACCCCCACACACCCGGAGGGAGCAGGGATCCAGAAACAAGAGGGATGAGGGACGTGGCCTCCCTGCATAGGTCCAGGCCCCAGGGAAGGCGCCCCCAAAGCTCCCTCCTTCCCATAAGCACCCTGTCTCAATACCCCTAGAGACCAAGGAGGCAGCGGGCAGCGGGGCCTCTGTCCTCCTCCCTTGCTCCTCCTGGTGAGGACTGAGAAGGGAGGGTGGCAGACAGGTGGGCATCATTTTCGCAAGGAGGAGGGTAGTGGGCAATGTATCCACAGAAATGCATTATGTCTCCTTGTTTTTGTTAAAAATCTACTATAAAAAAACGCAGCTTGGGGAGGAGCATCTCCCTCTCTGTGCTAAGGGCTGGGGGAAGGGCAGCAGAGGCCGGCAGCAGCTGCAGGGTAGGTCAGTGGGCATCACTGCCGGGTGCTCTCGCCCACCATTTCCAGGTTGTGCTGCTGCAACTGAGCTCGAAGCAGGGCATTCTCATTCTTCAGCTCCTCAATCTGCAGGCACCACAGAGGACACATGAGCCAGGGGCTAGCCTTGGCATCCTGGGGCTCCCAGTGGGTTCCAGGTCTGCACCCACCTGCTGCCTCAGGAGTTCATTGTCCATCTGCAGCCGCTCGGCCTCCTTGAAGGTCTCCTGCATTCGCTGGTTGGTCTGGCGTAGCTCCCGGATGTAATCACAGGCCTTGGACAGGATGCCCCCTTTACTCTGAAGAGGGGAGCAGGCAAAAGTCAGAGGACAGGACAGCTCCTGTGCCTGGTGTTAGGTTAGACTTCCTGGAAGGGACGGGACACCCGGGCCACTCACCGCTCCTGTCTTGCTGTTGTCTGCATGACAATCTGGAATGATTTTTGAAAGCTGGACGATCCAGTTGTTGATCTTGTCCCTCCGTCTCCGCTCCACTGTAGGAGACAGTGATAGTCATGGCACTAGTAAGGATCTCACAGGGACTCTAGGCTGCCACCCCCCCCATGGGCCACATTGCTTCATGAGAAGACCAACCAAGTCTCAATTCTCAAGTGCCACACTGTCGGGACAGGAACCTACACTAACAACTGCAGGCTTGTTTTCACTGCCTGCCTAGCACATGCTACACACTGGAGCCAACACAGAAAAACTACAGCGTCACCCACACTCTGAAAACGCGGCTCTGGGCACTGGGTGCACATCTACAGTGTCACCCACTCTGAAAATGCAGCTCTGGGCACTGGGACTCACACCTTTTTTTGAGGGGCAGAATCCCTTCATGCAGGATCCAGCAACTGCCATAGCTCCTGTAATCCTTGCATTTCATTCTCGGAATGTCCTCAGACTTTGGCTTCTCTAATTTTGCTTTTCCAATCTTTTTTTTTTTTTTTTGTCCCCTTGGGGATAGGGTCTCATGTAGGTCAGGCTGGCCTCAAACTGTGTAGCCAAGGACAACTTTAAACTTCTGACCCTCTGGCCTCCATTTCCTAAGTGGCCGGCCACTCTATATGTGGTTTTCTTCATTGTTGAGATGGAAGCCCACACTCTACAACTGAGCTACATACAGCCCAGCCCCTTCTCATCTTCAGTGTGAAAACCTGATCATGCCTTCTCTGTTTAAAATTCTACTCCACAGCCTTGGCAAGCTGCACTCTCCAGACCAGGACTATGGTTATGAGGCCTGGCCTTGTGGACCCCATCTCACTTGGAATGTGAACCCCATACCTCGAAGACAAAGCATGGCAAGTACAGATTTCACTTCAAAGTCCAGACTCGAGCTTCATGAAACTCTGCAACCCTACTGATAGCTATACTGAGTGTCAACTGTCTGCAGACAAGGCCTGTGCCTTCTTCTGGCTTCTCATATGTTCAGGATGCCTGCCAGGAACCACCTGACTTGGAACCAGTTCCACAGCTTTTTGGAGCAGGACTTTGGGGTCCTTCCTTACCTCCAGAGCACAGACCTCCTACTGTTGGGGCACAAAAGACCCTGACACCCCCAAGTCTCCTCTTAGCCCCCATCCTCTTACAGGAGGACTGGAGACACCTGTCAAATTTGTGGAGGGGAGCTGGGCGTCGAACCTGATGGGGTGTGGGAAAAGGGCAAGAGGGCCACTTCCTAATGAGGGCAGTGAGGATGGAAAATGGGAAAGCTTGAAATGAGAGGGGTGGGTAAGGAGGGCTCCTTTCTCCTCAGACCTGAACTCATACCATGCCCATGACATTCCCTGAGAGGACCTCAGGGCCCATGAACAGGTAGAGGCCACTGCTTCTGCCTGGTTACTTCCACTCAGGCATGAATGATTTCATTTTCCAAAGCAGACCCTCCCACTCTGTTCATGCCCTCTTCACAGCAATGGTTCTTTCTCTGAGATCTCCCCAATGTCCTGCCAAGGATGCAGCTATGCCAAGTTTGGTAACGGCTGGGCTATCTCCACTCGGCTTAGGGCTAGCTCACTGACACCATCAAGTATGGTGGACTCTTCTGGGAACTTGGTGGCAGACTGCAGCAGTAAAGTTGGGTCTAGCTAGGGCCTAGAAGCACTACCACCACATTCCCTGTCAGAGTGCTCTACCTCGGGCTCTACAGGGCTCACTTAGTGCTTCCCCACCTGCTATGTCCACTGTTCTAGAGCCTGGGTATCTGACAACCACTCCTCAGCCCGTCAGGGTTAAGGGTAGATGTGTGTGACAGCGCTCCTTTGGTCTGCATTTAGTTCTGCAAAATGTAGCAGTGTGTGGCTTTAAACACGGTGGATTCAACCCTGGCTTTGTCCTGGTGGTGCTCATGACTGAGAAGATATGTGAATGGGGGTACTGTGCCCACGGAAGGGAGGCGTGGAGCAGCACTCTGCATGGGGCCTACAGTAGGATGAAGCAGAAGCAGGCGGATCTCTGTGAGATTGAGGCCAGCCTGGTCTACAGAGTTAGTTCTAGGATAGCCAGGGCCAGGGCTGGGCTGTTACACAGAGAGACCCTGTCTCAACCCCCCCCCCCCCCACACACACACAAAGAAAAACATTTGGGTTTCTGAGAAGGGTCCCAGACACACTGATAATAAGATCACACAAAAGATTACATGAACCACTTGTAGGGTGTGTGTGTTGTGTTTACATAAGCTAACTACAGCTTGTGTCCAGGTAGTAACATGGTTAGGCCCGTGGCTTGGAAAAACTATTAGGACACACTGGACTGGCAGAAGGTCGGTCTCACAGAAGCCCATAGTTACAACAACACTTAAAATACATCTCACAGTCAGGG